GGAGAGACGGCTGCTCGCATTTATTCTCCACCATTCTCTATTTTTTTTCTTCCCCTCTTTTGCACTCTTTCTTCCTCACTTGCCCCCCTTCTCAATTTTTTTTAATACCCTGTTAATTACCCCGTCTGTCCTCTTTATTCAAATGAGAAAGTGAGAAATGTGAGAGGAGAATGTTTGTAATTTCAAATAGGCCTCTCAGAAGGCAGATACCGTGAGTGTAATCAACAACGGCAGAGGCTGCGGCGGAGGTGGCGGTACGGGCGTTTACCGTTATCTCCGGAGCAGGGCTGGGGCTGAGGGGCCGTGGTGGAGCTGTGCTCTGATAAACAAACATGCCAGAACCATAATGAGGCGGTTCAGAGGAGACAGTCCTCCCCGTATGTACACACACACACACACACACACGCGCTCACAGGAGGCACTCAATTCTCCACATGATTACTCAGTTCATATGTCATCCATTAGAAGCGGTTTACCGGCTAGAGGCCTTTTAATTGGTGCACACAGGGTCAGGGAGGAAGGCCCAGCATGCTTAGGGCATGGAAAAAAGGGACACGCTGAAAATAGAAAACATTTTGCAGCGCTTCATTGCGCTTCAGGTTGAGCAATTGCTGTTTGTTTTCCTACCTTCAATACTTTGACATTTCACACACAGTCTCTCTTTACTGTTGCTTATACTCCAGAGAGCATTTGGAAAAGAGGTTTACAGGTTTTCATTTGTGGCGCACGGTAAAGCAAGTACCATTTTTACTGTTGCCTGTTCGAACCAACCCCTTTTCGCTACAGACATGAGTTTGTGAAATTATGCAACTTTTTTTTAAGAAGCATGTTTCAATTATTTTCTAAGTGATTAGACATATACAAATGATAAAATTGGTGAAAAGCCTATAGATGTCCATTGAAAGAGGGATTCGAACAGTATAACCACCAGAATATCTGTGGGCTGTGTTCTTATAAATTTTAATTTAATTAAATTTAAAAATTTAATTTAATTAAATTTTAAAATTTAATTTAATTGATATTTTATAAATTTAATTTATAAATTAGATTTAATTTACATTTATAAATACAGATTACTTTGGAGTCTCTGGAATCTCAGACAAGTTAACCTCAACAGGTTAACCTCAACCTTGAACGTAAAAGATTTTTATTGGTTGCGCCATGTATAGTATCATTCTTTTATAAGTGAGGCTTTAAATGCAACACTCACTTTTATACAATATGTAACATGGGTCTTTGCTCCATCTCTCTCTGTACACCAAGGGGTCCTTCGGAAAGTGTTGAAGACCTTTGTATAACCAAGCATGTTCTGTAGGTGACTTGCACAAGCAAGCACCACTTTTTTTTCAGAAAACTTAAACATCTAGTTGTATTTTTAGTTGTCTTTCAAAGACCTTTGGTATGTTTTCTGCTTGAATTGTCAACATGTCTAAAGGAATTTTGTTGAAGGGCAGTTGTGCAGTGTTTTTTTTTTTCCTTTTCTGTCGATTTCTGTCACTCATCATTTACTGCATTCTTGCCATCAGCAGTCTTCTCATGTAACACACAGAGGGGCCATCTGGCTTCAGCTTTGATCAAAATAAACAGCTGATGAAGCTAGTTCAATTTTTGGATGTTCACCAGCAGCATTAATGCCAAAAGAACACACTGTCCACATCATTTACTCTACAAAATTGTCGACATGGGAGAGATAATGCTAATTCAAAGAAAAGACTAATGCCATTCACATCTGTTCAGGGAAATGTACAGTGCTTCATGAATGAATGAAAGAATTAATTAATTAATTTTAAAATTAAATTGAATATAAATTTAATTTACCCAGAACCTGACAGTCATTAACAAATTAGTTTAATAACATGACGTGCCCAAAAAAGAAAAAAAAAATGTTTAGGCTATATACAGTATGCAATGGAAAAAACACAAATTTTTCTTTGCGGTGGTGCAAGCACGTCATCCAGCTGTCACTCAGAGTGTAAAACATAGCACATTTGAACAAACCTGAATTTTAATAAGTCCGCATTTGATCAAAAACTCTTCCCTCTGCGCACATTGTCGAGGACGGCTGCTTTGATCTCATCGTGATTCGATGAGGTAAGAGATTCAGATGAAGGGAGAGGCAAAATGAAACGCAATGTTTGAGCCTAGGACTGAATGATATGAAAAAGTAAATGCAGTTTTTCTCTTCTGATTGTTTTCTGCAAAAGCCACTTTACAAATTTATGATTTATAGGCAGCAAAATTCAAATAGTCCTTAAATAACACTTATTATTGTTAATGATAATTAGCAGTACTAAAAGGAAGTTAATTTAAAGATTTTAATTCTATCATCGTTTATTCACCCTCACGCCATTCCAAACCTGTATGACTTATTTTATTTTATTTTTTTTAAAGAAATGCTATGAAAAATGTCAATGAAAGTCAACTGTTGTTTTGGCTCCCCTTGACTGTCATTATAAAGAGTGTCAGTTTGAATGACATTTTCCTCTAGCCTTTTTCTTTAACAAGGTGTTTTTGGCCAGAGAACCTCTCGCTGTTTCTAGCCTGCTGTGTCTAGTACAACACCAGCAATCATATAACAAAGTGGCTCAAATCATATTTATTCCCTTTCAGTTTGGTCGAAAAACAGCTGAGCATCTTGACTTTATCGGCATCACATGTTAAACAAGTGAATCTCAAAAACCTGTCTCTGAGTATGTAAGTATATAGTCCTTTGCATAAAGCAGTTAAACAAAAACAACAATATATTGAGGCTACTTATGGTGATGTTAACTATTTACAGTATGCAACAGTGCTTCCTGCATTGCTTTTCAGTCATGATCTCCAGCAACATGGTAAAATAAATCATATTTTATCTGAGTTATGAATGTGAGTTTCAATGTGAATTGAATGTGATAAGATATAAAGCACAGTGTAATGCATAATAATGGCAAGAACCGTTATCCCTGCTCGCTGCTAGACAAGCACACAGTGCAACTATAGTCTGATTCATGAGCAGATGACTCTTCTGAGCCAGTTCTTTCATACCTTCCATACGTTACCTGTTTGGATCAGTGTGATGAATTCTTCACTGAATTAACCCACACAATCATCTGATGAGTATGGAAGCCCTAGTGTCTTATTTTCTCTAAATTCTGAGTTTACATCCTGCAATTCTGACTTTTTCCCTCAGAATTTATTTATTTATTTTTTGTTAGTTTCTGCCATGGAATAAGAAATAAAAAAAGCAATTGCGACTTTCTCTTAATTATTTTTTCTTGCTATTGTGAGTTTATATCTCGTAATGAAGACTTTTCTTCTGAGAATTGTGAGAAAAAAGTCAGAATTGTGAGAAAACATTTTTTCAGTCGGTGGTGGAAACCAAGCTCTATATATGGGTTTCTAAATTAATATCTAAATGTTATTTTCATATTTTTTTAGATTATATTCATATTTAAAGTAAGACACTCCCATGATCCTAAGTATCATGTATAACTATTAGTGCTGCCAAACGAGTAATCGCGATTAATCACATCCAAATCACCATAAATGTTTTTGTTTACATAATATATGTGTACACTATGTATATTTATTTTGTATATATAAATATAAATCTTTTTTTAATATGTACTGTATATGTGTGTATGTATATTTATATTCATATAATTTATATTTAATATATAAACATAACATTTCTCTTAAATATATATGTGTGTGTGTGTGTATATATATATGCATGCATACATGCATACATTGAGTGAAAACCTCCTTCCATCAGCAAGGGCATTGAAGATGAAACGTGGCTGGGTCTTTCAGCATGACAATGATCCCAAACACACCGCCCGGGCAACGAAGGAGTGGCTTCGTAAGAAGCATTTCAAGGTCCTGGAGGGGCCTAGCCAGTCTCCAGCTCTCAACCCCATAGAAAATCTTTGGAGGGAGTTGGAAATCTGTGTTGCCCAGCGACAGCCCCAAAATATTACTGCTCTAGAGGAGATCTGCATGGAGGAATGGTCCAAATTACCAGCAACAGTGTGTGAAAACCTTGTGAAGACTTACAGAAGACGTTTGACCTCTGTCATTGCCAACAAAGGGTATATAACAAAGTATTGAGATGAAATTTTGTTATTGACCAAATACTTATTTTCCACCATAATTTGCAAATAAATTCTTTAAAAATCCTACAATGTGATTTTCTGGATTTTTTTCCCTCATTTTGTCTCTCATAGTTGAGGTATACCTATGATGAAAATTACAGGCCTCTCTCATCTTTTTAAGTGGGAGAACTTGCACAATTGGTGGCTGACTAAATACTTTTTTTCCCCACTGTATATATACATAATATACACAGTACACACACACACACATATATTATGTAAACAAAAACCTTTATTTTGGATGCGATTTAATCGTTTGACATCACTAATACTATTTAATGCCTTTTATTACAAAACTTTGAGAACTTGTATCATTACATACAGGTAGTCAGATGTTCAGTAATGCTTTAGAGCGATTCAAACCAGTTTGAGATTGTGAGTCTTTTGACTGATTCATTAAAAGACATTTGTTTATTAAGTGTAATACACTGGTCGCACTATGATTTTCATCTTGTGTTATTGGCATGGTACATGCAAAAACAAAGACTGAGCACAATCAAAATAATCCAGTGGTTATTCTATCACATTTAATTAATGTCTCAGGTAAATATATAGTTTCTGGTGCTACAGATTGTGTGGTGTAGGAAACATTTACTACTGAGTGAATATGATTGATTCCACTGTTCTGTAAGTCTGCTTACAGCTCTGCACACTGAAATTGACATATTATGTGGCATAAGATGAGAGAATGCTGAGTTTTGTCGTGCTACACAGGTAGTAGTTAGGAAAAGAAACCCTGCTACATAATTTTGAAAATAGCTTAGATGTTATGCTACTGAAAAATGTTAAGTCAGTGACAATCTGCTCAGCAGTGCTGCATATTAACAGCTCAATAACTGAAAATGTGTATTTCCATTTTTATCACAGAAACTCAAACAGAAGAACCAGCAGCTGAAGATGATTATGGACCAGCTCAGAAACCTCATCTGGGAGATCAACTCCATGCTGGTTGTCAGGAGCTGAACACACATGTGTGTGTGCACATAGAGTCAGTGCTGTACATACACAGCCTGTGTTCGCTGCATTCACGAGCTCTGCTTTCAGCGGGACACGCAAGATAGATGCAGGAAAGAGCAGCGAGGCACAAAATTGAGAGAAGGTAGGAAGCAAAAAGAGGACTGAACTGAAGAAATTCTGCTGCATTCATAACACACGGTTGAAATACCATTCGGTTCAGCTGACTTGGATCCAATTTTCAACCTGATGAACATTAGGAGGTCTGAGCAGTCTGCTCATTCACTCAGATATGCTTTAAAATGAACCTTTTACGCAAGTATATTCCTCATATTTTGCATGAGTGATAGCTCCTATTTACTGTTAAACTGTGTAGCTCTCAATCATAACTTATAGAAAAATAATGTGTGAAACATTGCATATTAGTGTGGTGTTAATATATTTAAGTATAAACCTTATACCAGTGCGTCTCGACTGCGTCATACTTTTGTGGTCGTGTTTGGGGAAAAAAAAACCTCAAGAACAAATTATCTGATTTTAGTATTAGATATAAAAGCATCCTTCTCAAAAAGAAAAAAAAATTGCACAGCCGTTTACAGTAGCCACACAATAATTAGTGCTGAATTTCAGCATGTACACTGTATAAAATGTAAAAATATCCATAAAATTTATGGTAAAAAACGGCATCTGTTGTTGCCAGAATTTTACAGTCAAAAAAATACGGTAGCAACATTTTAGGTTTTACGGTTTTAACTTAAATTTACATTTAAATACCGTAATTTCATTAACTGATATAATGTTAATAAACCAACCTATTGAAGTACTGAAATCTGTTTTGTAACGCAGATAACCACCAAAAGCAGGTGGTGATGAGAAAGTCACATGATGAACCAAAGTCCATCACAAGCAGCTTTTAAATATTAACATATATTGAAGATGCACAGAGTCATTCACACAAACATTAACACACACTGCCCCGTCCACACGGAGTTTATACAGTTAAGCTGTATACGCATACATTTTGTATCGTATAGGTGTTTCGTCCTCATGGATCTGGCGTTTTCGGTGAGTGAAACCGATATTTTTTGAAACCGGGTCCCAGATTGGATCAATCTGAAAATGCCGCCCTTGCGTTTTCATGTGGACAGCGAATCCCTATATTTTCTGAAAAGATGACGTCATCAGCCCACGTCTCGCCCCCTAGTCAGACACCGCTACGTCACGTAACAGCAACAAAAACATGAACAAACACTGAACGATTGTCTTTATATTAACTAACATTAATAGCTCTCAATCATAACTTATAGAAAAATAATGTGTGAAACATTGCATATTAGTGTGGTGTTAATATATTTAAGTATAAACCTTATACCAGTGCGTCTCGACTGCGTCATACTTTTGTGGTCGTGTTTGGGGAAAAAAAAACCTCAAGAACAAATTATCTGATTTTAGTATTAGATATAAAAGCATCCTTCTCAAAAAGAAAAAAAAATTGCACAGCCGTTTACAGTAGCCACACAATAATTAGTGCTGAATTTCAGCATGTACACTGTATAAAATGTAAAAATATCCATAAAATTTATGGTAAAAAACGGCATCTGTTGTTGCCAGAATTTTACAGTCAAAAAAATACGGTAGCAACATTTTAGGTTTTACGGTTTTAACTTAAATTTACATTTAAATACCGTAATTTCATTAACTGATATAATGTTAATAAACCAACCTATTGAAGTACTGAAATCTGTTTTGTAACGCAGATAACCACCAAAAGCAGGTGGTGATGAGAAAGTCACATGATGAACCAAAGTCCATCACAAGCAGCTTTTAAATATTAACATATATTGAAGATGCACAGAGTCATTCACACAAACATTAACACACACTGCCCCGTCCACACGGAGTTTATACAGTTAAGCTGTATACGCATACATTTTGTATCGTATAGGTGTTTCGTCCTCATGGATCTGGCGTTTTCGGTGAGTGAAACCGATATTTTTTGAAACCGGGTCCCAGATTGGATCAATCTGAAAATGCCGCCCTTGCGTTTTCATGTGGACAGCGAATCCCTATATTTTCTGAAAAGATGACGTCATCAGCCCACGTCTCGCCCCCTAGTCAGACACCGCTACGTCACGTAACAGCAACAAAAACATGAACAAACACTGAACGATTGTCTTTATATTAACTAACATTAACACAGATTAATAAATGTATTGTTCCATGTTCGTTTCTATACCGCGTGCAAGGTTTATGCGCATAGTCCAAGTCTTCTTCTCCATTTTAAGTGTAGCTCTGTGGCAGAATTACAGCGTCACATGCTTGTCTGGCATGTATACTACATCGTTTTGTGTGGATGCAGATATTTCTTGAGACGAAGGGGAAAAAAAAAAGATCGGATAGCGAAAGCTCTGGCTTCATATGGACGTAGCCTAAGCATCATCATGGTAACACACATGAAACTGAAATAATGCAGTAAACATTAATTTAACATTAGCTGTAACATACAACCCTAATGTACAAAACTGATAAGAAACAAACTAAGGAACAGTTATTCAACAAAAAACTTCGCATTTGAAATGTAATGCAGGGAATTCTGGGAATGTCAATTTACGGTTATTCACTGTAAATTATACATCCTTTTTCCACTTCCAAAAACGGTATACTACCGTAAAATTACATGTAATGTCCAATATGTTTTTTTACCGTATATCGTAGGGGAACTTATCGTTAATGTGTTTTTACTGTAGGATTTTTAGTCTTTTACTGTTAAATTCAAGGTTATTTTTTTACAGTGTACAGCTCAATATAATCCCTTATCTGTAACCTCTTTATACCATTAATCGGAAAAATAAATATACAAGTCACGTCATTATAGCATCAAATATGACTTTATTCATTTTCTTATAAATCATTCATACAAAATTGGCATTTTGCAATTTCTTTATTACCTCTATAAAAAAGTCATCTGTTAATTACTGGGATGAAGGGTCAGGACAGGAGGGAGCAAAACAAACAGCTCTGAACAAAACTAACCCAAAACAAATCAGTATTTACTCAAATAGCCTAAAGTGGTCATGCAAGTCTGGTTAACAGCCTAACGTGAGAAATACAGTTGCGTGTTTAACAGATGCTGTGAAACTGTAGTGGCGGAAGATGACGCAACTTTCTGAAAGATTTTGCCGCTTCTGTCTAAACTCAATTCAATTGAATCAAAAGGCACAATCAGGGAGAGATCAGTGATGCTTTTGAGCATGACTCTATATTGCTTATTGCTAATCATAGAAAGAAATGTAAGAGAAATCGGATGCTAATTTTACCAGTTAACCTTGAGACAGGATGATCTCGACGGAATGAAAAACAAGTAGAGAAACCATAAAAGAACGACAACATAATACAATTGCATGAGTTTAAATTTGCCAAGATTCTTTGGTGATCTTGCAAGTGTGTAGTGGTAGCAGCAGCATTCAACAGGTTCCATTTTTATCACAGAAACTCAAACAGAAGAACCAGCAGCTGAAGATGATTATGGACCAGCTCAGAAACCTCATCTGGGAGATCAACTCCATGCTGGTTGTCAGGAGCTGAACACACATGTGTGTGTGCACATAGAGTCAGTGCTGTACATACACAGCCTGTGTTCGCTGCATTCACGAGCTCTGCTTTCAGCGGGACACGTAAGATAGATGCAGGAAAGAGCAGCGAGGCACAAAATTGAGAGAAGGTAGGAAGCAAAAAGAGGACTGAACTGAAGAAATTCTGCTGCATTCATAACACACGGTTGAAATACCATTCGGTTCAGCTGACTTGGATCCAATTTTCAACCTGATGAACATTAGGAGGTCTGAGCAGTCTGCTCATTCACTCAGATATGCTTTAAAATGAACCTTTTACGCAAGTATATTCCTCATATTTTGCATGAGTGATAGCTCCTATTTACTGTTAAACTGTGTAGCTCTCAATCATAACTTATAGAAAAATAATGTGTGAAACATTGCATATTAGTGTGGTGTTAATATATTTAAGTATAAACCTTATACCAGTGCGTCTCGACTGCGTCATACTTTTGTGGTCGTGTTTGGGGAAAAAAAAACCTCAAGAACAAATTATCTGATTTTAGTATTAGATATAAAAGCATCCTTCTCAAAAAGAAAAAAAAATTGCACAGCCGTTTACAGTAGCCACACAATAATTAGTGCTGAATTTCAGCATGTACACTGTATAAAATGTAAAAATATCCATAAAATTTATGGTAAAAAACGGCATCTGTTGTTGCCAGAATTTTACAGTCAAAAAAATACGGTAGCAACATTTTAGGTTTTACGGTTTTAACTTAAATTTACATTTAAATACCGTAATTTCATTAACTGATATAATGTTAATAAACCAACCTATTGAAGTACTGAAATCTGTTTTGTAACGCAGATAACCACCAAAAGCAGGTGGTGATGAGAAAGTCACATGATGAACCAAAGTCCATCACAAGCAGCTTTTAAATATTAACATATATTGAAGATGCACAGAGTCATTCACACAAACATTAACACACACTGCCCCGTCCACACGGAGTTTATACAGTTAAGCTGTATACGCATACATTTTGTATCGTATAGGTGTTTCGTCCTCATGGATCTGGCGTTTTCGGTGAGTGAAACCGATATTTTTTGAAACCGGGTCCCAGATTGGATCAATCTGAAAATGCCGCCCTTGCGTTTTCATGTGGACAGCGAATCCCTATATTTTCTGAAAAGATGACGTCATCAGCCCACGTCTCGCCCCCTAGTCAGACACCGCTACGTCACGTAACAGCAACAAAAACATGAACAAACACTGAACGATTGTCTTTATATTAACTAACATTAACACAGATTAATAAATGTATTGTTCCATGTTCGTTTCTATACCGCGTGCAAGGTTTATGCGCATAGTCCAAGTCTTCTTCTCCATTTTAAGTGTAGCTCTGTGGCAGAATTACAGCGTCACATGCTTGTCTGGCATGTATACTACATCGTTTTGTGTGGATGCAGATATTTCTTGAGACGAAGGGGAAAAAAAAAAGATCGGATAGCGAAAGCTCTGGCTTCATATGGACGTAGCCTAAGCATCATCATGGTAACACACATGAAACTGAAATAATGCAGTAAACATTAATTTAACATTAGCTGTAACATACAACCCTAATGTACAAAACTGATAAGAAACAAACTAAGGAACAGTTATTCAACAAAAAACTTCGCATTTGAAATGTAATGCAGGGAATTCTGGGAATGTCAATTTACGGTTATTCACTGTAAATTATACATCCTTTTTCCACTTCCAAAAACGGTATACTACCGTAAAATTACATGTAATGTCCAATATGTTTTTTTACCGTATATCGTAGGGGAACTTATCGTTAATGTGTTTTTACTGTAGGATTTTTAGTCTTTTACTGTTAAATTCAAGGTTATTTTTTTACAGTGTACAGCTCAATATAATCCCTTATCTGTAACCTCTTTATACCGTTAATCGGAAAAATAAATATGCAAGTCACGTCATTATAGCATCAAATATGACTTTATTCATTTTCTTATAAATCATTCATACAAAATTGGCATTTTGCAATTTCTTTATTACCTCTATAAAAAGTCATCTGTTAATTACTGG